AGACCCTACATCTCTACGCAACGCCAAGGTATCAACGCGCTCGAAATTTTTCTTCAAGTCTACTTGAGGTCGATTTTGTATGTAGAACATAGAACTTTATAAACTTTAGAACTGAAAATTTCACTTTTAGTTTAACATATATACAATTTGATAGAAATCTTTGAGTATTACGAAAGTGGTTGTTTAAGGACGTTTGACCTTAAGTTTAAGAGAATGACCAGGCCCAGGGCTGATTGGAAAGTTTCGACTGACCTTTCATCGAAATATTTGGTAATTAACAGTTTTCTCTCAGACTTGTGTAACAGAGAAGTTAACGGAGTAATGGATGTCATATATCATGACAAATCGAACAAGCTGTAGGTTACTTTACGATGAAGCTTCATATATTAATTAATTTGGATGAAGATGAGTACATGTAATGTATTTTGGAATTCCATACACCATCCTTAGTATTTTTATAAAATAGTTGAATTAAAAATCTAAATAGAAATGAATCGCAAAATGTAGCTAAGCCAAAACTGGAAGACGGCTGGAACAATTTGAGTATTTTTTTAAATGTATTTCTTGAATTCTGTGGAGTTTTTTATAGAGAAAAATTTATTTTTAAAATTAGGTTTCGGAAAAACAAACAGTCTCTCTGGCGTAGCATAGCAAAATGTTCCATATGTTGGTATATAGCTACTAAAAAGGTAGACCAAGTAAAACACTATATTAAAGCGAAACTAAATAATAATTTAATTTTTAATTTTGCATATGCAAAGCTTGGAAAGTTTTAATCAAAAACGTGGTAGCCATGGTAACAAACCACACTAATTTATATTTAAGAATACCCTTTATACAAAAGGTCCTTGCACCCATTGTTTACAATTCCCACAATCGCAAATACCTTTGTAAAGGTTTTTAACAATTTTAAAATAAAAGCGAACATTGTGTAAACGTGAATTGAAAATACGTTTCCAAAAATTATTTGTAATCGATCCTAAACAAATCTTTTTCGTATATTTCTTAAAATATTTACACGTAATTAATGTACGAAAATATTTGAATGCTTTTGACTGGTTAAAGGAGTTTGACCGATTTGACCTGTATCGAATGGTTGGATTGGATATTGTTTGTTCTATTTAGGCTTCCAGTGAGCTAAATTTGGTTTGGTATGTATACTATATAGAGAGTGTCTATGGGCGGTATCACGTAACATCAGATAAGCCTCCTGCGCGTGTGCACCCTGTTACATATTTAAAAAATCAGTGGCGCTACAACCTTTTTAGGTCTGGGCCTCAGATTTCTGTATCTGATTATTTGTCAATCTAATAGGTAAGTAGGTGATCAGCCTCCTGTGCCTGACACACGCCGTCGGGTCTAAGTCGAGCCGGTTTCCTCACGATGTCTTCCTTCACCGCTCGAGCGAATGTTCCGCACATGGACAGAAAGTCCATTGGGGCACAGCCGGGGTTCGAACCTACAACCTCAGATGAGCGTCGCACGTTGAAGCCACTTGGCCAACACTGCTTACATATTATATATTTGAAATTAGGTAACATTCAAAAATAGAAATCTTTCTTCTTAATTTTTCAAAGCCGCACCAACAAGGCCAATAATTATTAGTATAGAAACAAATACAAAAATTAATCTGCCCCATGCCCTATACTTCAAAGTTTCTAATAGTTTCCTAACGTAGTACTTATAGTTAAGGTTAAGCTAAGTAGGACATTGAAATTAATTATTGACACAGAAACAAGTTTGTTCGACCCGACAGCAACACAATTCAATCTTATATCAATCATTGTTCGAAAATATTTCATTCACAAATATCAATCACAGTATATAGCAGTGTGTCTTCAACGTGCGACTCCCATTCCTGAGTTCGTAGGTTCGAACCCCGGCTGTGCACCAATGGCAAACGGGCAAGAGGCTAACCCTAATGTTAAGTGATACCGCCCATGGAAACTCAATGCCAGAGGAATTGCAAGTGTATTACCGGTATTTTAGGAATTGGTACGCTCTTTTCTTGAAGGACCCTAAGTCGAATTGGTTCGGAAATACTTCAGTGGGCAGCTGGTTCCACATAGTGATGGTGCGCGGCAAAACTGCCATAGGAACTTCTACTATTGAGATTATGCAAACATTTAATCTAGACCAGCTGTTTCTTAATAAATATCTCAGTATTAAATCTTTATCAATCAAGTTTTGTTAGTTCCACCTTGAGCTGCCGTGGTAGATCAAAATATCTAAGGTTATTCTGATTGCACTTCACGTACGCCTTTAACGTTGCCAACAAATTTAAAACCACGCTTTACTGAAGGTCCCGTCAATGATTATTTTCGGCTACACTAATACCATACACCCAGCAGCGATACTAAGCTAACGGAAATTTGGAATTACAACAGAATATTATAGTAATGCTTATATTTGCTTTGCTTGTTTTCTTCTTGTCAGTCGTATTCTTCAACGTAAAGATCGCGTCGCTGTAAGATGCTATCTCTCCACCTGGTTCAGTCTATAGTTTTCCTTAGCGCATTTTGGTGACACTCGTGACTTGGTCACAGCTGCGAGTTGGTGATCTGCCGTCTTTTGCCTTCCACTTTGCCGACGCCAACGAGCCTGTCGAAGTTATCTGGACGGGAACGAGCGATATGACCCAACTTAGCGGGAACGAGCGATATGACCCAACTTAGAACTCTTCAGAGTCGTTAGTTTGATTGGTTACTTCTTTTAGCGGTCCATGGTAAGCGAAACATCTCCAGAGCATCAATCCTTTTCCTGTTTTTCCTCGAATCGTCCATGGCTCCGATCCGTAGAAGAATAGAGAAAACCGACGTTCGTGTAATTCTCATCCTAGCAGCACCCGGGTTTTTTTTAAGTCTTGTTTAGGACCCAGTAAATATATAGTCTTTTCTATTCATTCATACATTCTTAAATGGTGTACTTGTTTAAATCTTCACTGGCTTAAGTAACTTAACCTTAACCAGTAGTAAAGGATCTGCTTTAAAGGAAAAATACCAAAATAACCTTGTACTTAACTACACACATATATAATAAACGTTTAATTTATAAATACTTACGATTACTTCAGATCGTGATCTTTTGAATAAAGGCCACAAAATTTCGTGATTCTAATGTGTGAATCTAGTTTTGCTTATTGTAAACACGGAAGTTAAAACAATGGAAATTGCTTAATATCTCTTTATTAAATTACAAATTTGTGTCAAGACGTATGCGCTGATTTGTGTGAAGTGTAAGAATTTATGACTTGAGTAAATAAATAAACTAAACTTCAGTTAAATAGGAATTTCATTGATAGCAGCTGTTCACCTACTTAAAGACATCTTTGTCAAGAGGAGGAAGAGGGGTTCCAGTAGTACCTTTGATTTAGCCAAGGAACGAACAAGAAAAGCCAATTAGTTCTAAGTAAAGCTATTTTATATTCAAAGTTTTATGGGTGATATTCCCAAACTAGACTTATAAAAATCGGTATGACTTAGACCCAAAAAGACAACGGTGTGTGTCACACACAGAAAGCTGATCTTCTTGCCTATTAGATTGACAAATGATCATCATACAGAGATCTGAGACTCTGACCTAAAAAGTAGCGGCACTGAGCTTTTTTCCTATGGACTATGTATTGATGTCGCTACTGGTGATGTGAGAACTGTTGTCTTAGGGGAAGGAAGGAAAACATCGTGAAGAAACTGGCATGCCTTAGACCCAAAAAGTCGACCTAATTGCTTATTAATAATGTTTAAAGAACTTTATTTCTCATTACAAAACATATTTTTTATTTACATGAGAAATTAAATATTATAAACGAACGAGATACACGTCGCCATCAGCAAGCCCAATTTTAGTCTAATTGGCTCATTCTGATGCCCTTTTGAATTGATTAAACACGCTAATGTTACGAACCTTAGACGGCAACTCATTAAACAACTGCACACCCTCATACCTAATAGACCTCTTTAAATAATTTGTGCGCGGCTTTGGCAAGATAAGCAAACTCTAATATATTTACTTTCCGTCAAAATCCAGTAAGTTTTTGACATCGGGAGTCACATACGGTAGTCTTAAGTCTAGTTATCAGACATGTTTGCCTGATGTCCCGGCAATTTACGCGACGCAATCACCTAATTTATCTTTGTGACGAGGTACTTCGAGTGCCGTTATATGAGTCAGACTCAAATCGCTACCTAGTACTGTTTTGCTTGCAAAAAATTCAAATGGAATGAACTATTTCTTAGAAGCATTCCACCTTAATAGCTTTAGAATTTAGATAATTACCTTAAGATATTTTAGATATATTGTACCGTTAAGTTGAGCATTGAAATATAACAGATTTTAAATCTTAATATATATAAATTTCGTGTCACGTGGTTTGTCCGCTATGGACTCCTAAACTACTGAACCGATTTCAATCAAATTTGCACACCGTGTGCGGTTTGATCTAACTTAAAAGACATCTCATACATTATTTTATATTAGGTACATACATCTCGATTTATACCCGCAATATTATTTTATTGCAAATTATTTGATAGTCACAATTCTAACAGATGGCGCTGTGTTGAAAGTCCCAACGTTTCACATAAGCTACAATTTAATGGCATAACCACCAAAAAAGCATGGTGGATTGGTGTTCTCCTGCCGTTTCTCTTGAAACTACTATGTAATATAACAAAAATCATAGCCACAGCAACGCTTGGCCGAGTCTACTTGTATATTATAAGCAATAGTAGGTACCCAAGTCCTTCATAATCAAAAGCTTATAAAACGATGAGCTTTTGTGGACTATTAAAAAACTAAACTAATCTAGGGAAATATAACCCGATCCGGGCAGGTACTTTAATATCATTTTTTAACAGATGTGGACACAAAGGCGTTAAGATGCTCACAAAGCGGCAAACAGATGCACAGGCTGCGTGGCATTTGTCTGTAAATCACATGCGCAAATAGCACACACGAATCGTGCCTGTGTGCGTATCCAAGGTTGAACCTGCCCTACCTGCCTATCGCATTCTTGTACTATCTGCAGAATCGTGTGTTGTAACCAGTAACGGTTCAACCTCACAGGCTTGCAAATCAATCTGACGATTACACGGTGATTGACAATGTAATTATAAATTCAGAAAACTTGTTCATAAATAACCTTTTTATTGTTCAAATTATTGTCGAACTCGAAGTAGAAGATAAATCATCTTTAATCTTATGAGTTTTCAAGTTTGTGTAGCCTAGTATTCATGGTATGCGAGGGTCAAACTTGATTCTTAAACTAGAATGTAAGATTAGTAATAACTGTACTTGAATAAGTGAAATAGTTATCACAGTAAGTGTACGAGAAAGATTTCCGTAAATACAATTTAGTCAACTAAAGTAAAGAACTTAATTTTATAATTTCTTTATGTTGTTATACTAATAAAAATCTTAGTAACGGAAAAGTGGAGATTAATTTTCTATCGTTTTATTTCCAACTTATTGTCTAAATCCAATTTTATGTAGGTATTCCTTATAATAGTCGAATAGAATTCTATTCGATAACAAACTTAATATATATAAATTACGTGTCACGTTGTTTGTCCGCTATGGACTCCTATTCTACTTAACCGATTTCAATTAAATTTGCACACCGTGTGCAGTTTGATCTAACTTAAAAGATAGGATAGCTTACATCTCAATTTATACCAGTAGTTTATTCCAAATTATTTGTTTATTATTTGACAGTCAAAATTCTAACAGATGGCGCTGTGTTGAATGTACCATCACATAAGCTACCATTTAATGGAATAACCACCAATAAAGCATGGTGTTCTCCTACCGTTTCCCTTGAATAGTTTACTTCTATGTAATATAACAAAAACCTTAGCCACCGCAACGATTAAAAAATTCAAAAATTTATTCACGTAGGTAACACAATGTACACTTGTGATTCGTCATTAAAGAAATACATATTAATGCTTCTAATTTTACATTTACTGCCAGTTCTGCCAGTTACTTACAGCTTAGCCGAGTCTACTAGTATATTATAATTATTTTTGCATAAAAACTTTGCAAGGAGGAAAAACCACCTCACGTCACAATTCCTATAATTCTCAGACCCCAATCATATTAAAAAGATATTAATGTAGGTCACCGAGTAGCTGAGACAACGAATAAATTACTAATGCAAATTTTGGTCATTTCCGATTTCGCTTTATCCATGTGAATGCTTAAATACATAACCATTTAGGATGAATATTTTAGTTCAACAAAAACAAGTCGATTTCGAAGATGTGACCAAATTATAAATACTATTTTAAGTACGTAGGTCTCGACACAAGCCATTTCTTTCAGTACCATATAATTTTAGGCTGAATTCGACAAGAATTATTACATCACTTATTATCTGATTAAATTTGAATAGAATGTGTTGTTAGCTTTGGGTTTATTAACAACGGTAACGATATCAACGAATGAATTCTATGCTAATCTAATATATAAAATTCTCGTGTCGCGGTGTTTGTAGTTAAACTCCTCCGAAACGGCTTGACCCATTCTCATGAAATTTTGTGTGCATATCGGGTATGTTTGAGAATCGGACAACATCTATTTTTCATCACTCTAAATGTTAAGGGTAGTTGACCCCTAAATTATTATTTTTTAATTTTTAGAGAATTTTTTACTTTTTATGATACAGCATTAAAAATACATACAACCCCTAATTTTTACCCCTCTACGATTAACCCCTATTTTTTATTATAAATGATATATACATGGCAAAACGACGTTTGCCAGGTCAGCTAGTATTATCTAAATAATGATATATTGATACGTAATTCGTATGCAATAATAATCCCCGCAACGGAAAAGTACATGAATATTTCTAATATTGAATATTTCGATTACAATATATTATAAGAAAGAACTAGAATTCTTTTTAATTTTTATCTTTATATTATTTGTATTTAATTATTATATTTTGTAATTATGCAACAAAATATGCCAAAGTTAAGATAAACATGATTGGACTGTTCAATGCACTTGATTTACCTTTGACTTGAATGTGCGAGTCACGCTGTCTAAATGGTGGACCCTTGTAATGCAGGCTCTGTACTCAGTGTGATGTCATGGCCCAAAGGAACGTACAGGTTTGTTTCGCAATTTGATTGATGCTACTCAGGGGTCAAGTGACCTTATAGCCAGTCATTTTGGAGCAAGTAAATTCTTATCATAAAGTTCATTGAAAGCTAAGTGGTTTTAAATGTTATGTAATCTCAATCTCATATTCAGTTTTGATTTGGTGTAAGTACATAGTTTATAAAAATCCGTGTTATATAGATTAAAAATATCTGTTTTTTTTTTTACGCGTAATCAAGGTCAGAAATAGCGTGACATTGATCAAAGTCGACTTTCTTTCCATTAATACATTTATCTCATTCATCATTTTGTCACAGAGCAAACAAAACGTATCAGCGAGGAGAACACGCTTAAAATCAACAAATCACTGCAAAATATCTCGCTACTCTGTGGATTTAATAGACGAGATGAAAGGAATTCTATTTTTAAAAATATAAGCAATTAAACTCACCTCTTTGAGACCGTCGAGCCTTCCTAATGACTTGGACTGTCGTAATGGCAGGAATGCTTTTATCGCATCCATGCGCGATGTGCGCTCCGGTTCTGCATTTGTGGCAGCTGTCAGATCAGCGCAAGATAGGCGGGCCTTACGGCGCTTGTCAAGGAGCTGTTTCGCCGTTCTGGATCTGCGCTGAACTGGTGCGGCCTCTTCCTCGGGCTCGCTGCAAACTTCACGCGTCGCATGTACTGTATGCCGCCGCCGGGAGACAGGCGGTGACGTCAATCTTGATACGAGAGATTCGAACATTGTTTAGCCGCGACTGTACCAATGTTTCATAAAACCCTTTCTGGGAGCCCATTTGGGACGTGTGCCTTAGCACCCGGGCGCCTACAATGAGAAAATACTTTTGACGATTTTATTCAGATCGGGTGATCTCTAACCTCTTTTAAATTTGGATCGTTGACCGTATGACGCTTTTGTCATTGAACTATTGTTGAGCACATTTGAAATGGTCTGTTTGATGTATAATTTCACACAGCATGCACACCGTGACCGAAGGTTGCTTACCCCATCCGGAAGTGAGTTGTAACACCAAAGTTTAGTGTGTATTTATTGAAAAATGAAAGTTCCAATTCTATAATGTTTTTCACACGTTTTTTATAATGCTCTGAAAGTTAACCTGGTTAAGTTTTTATAATTAAGATGGAACTGTCTCAAAGATGTTGAGTGGAAAGTGTGCCATCGTACACAATATTGTGATAGTACTTTGCTACAAGTTTGAGGTAAAAATAGAGACACAAGGCCAATCATTGATAGTGAAAATAGCCGCACTCATCATCGCGACGACTGCCAAGAAACTTTCAGAATCACGAGTTTTTGCCTCTAACGAATTTTAGTATTAAATTTCTTCATCTGATTAGCCGTGTTGGCTATTGCTAAATCAAATGGCCAAACACCCGATTATAGCCTACATTGCCCTACATAGCTGTTGGTGTAACAATGTGTATTTGATGATGCAGCATTAGCATACATAAACATAGTTTGCGCTGATGTTTTGATTTGCATATTTTCGTTACGCTATTTAATTTCATTTTCATGTAAGTTCACAATAAAATGAATGAAGTAATCGATGTCGTTTAAAACACCTGTGTAATTATGTATCTTTATAACTAGTCTTTTAGGTTCTTAAACAATTATTAAGAACTAATTATATGACTTTTAAAGTATCTTAGACTTTATATGAATCACATCCAAGTATGAGATGTCAAGTTTAATAAAATGTAGCCTTAGCTTCGGTTGGTAGCAATCGTTAGTGGAGCGTATCTAAGCTAATAAAACTGTTAGTCTCAACCCATACGAGATGGGGACTTAAACCGGTACAAAGACCGGTCCCCGCTTCTAAAGTGCGCATCACCATATCTACCATTGCGGCTAAGCTTGCCCATCCGCTCTCCTATTTCACAGGCCACTTGCACTTCAGATAACTCGTATCAAATTCAATGTTGGGAGCAAACTCCGGCTAAACATGTAAACACGATATACGTTACCACTAACGTTGGGAAAATTAAATAACTTCTAAGGATAACAATTGAATGATGCAATCGAACTTTGTTTACGAAGAAATGTAATGTAGCGTGAAAACAATTGGCGAAAGTCTTGTAAAACGAACCAATAGCCAAGTGACAAAGCCGTAGATTAGAAAGTGTGTTGTGTGTATCAGAAAGGCTTGATACGGTGCGCACACGCTCTGATTGCCGCCCTATCTGTAAATCTGTCGCATTCACGACCATGACACAACAGTACCGTTCAACTACGTGAATAAACCGCGTCGAACATGAAATTCCGTTTCTTGCTAAAAGCGTCGCTATGTTCTACACTTTTTGATAGAGCCGAGAGAACATCAAAGAATGTTTATTTTATAGGCACCGTTTCACCGGTCTGGTATCTTTTACGAGATTAATGTTATCCCCGGTGTAATAATAGACATTTGGATTTCTACCGGAGTACGTCAAATTGCGGCGATGTACAGATACCAGCAAACATCTTGAACAAATGGCCTTGCCTGCACAAAAGCGATATTTAGGTATCACTGGGAGGGGGGGCGGGCGGTAGTGCGCGGCGGTGGGAGATTGACGTGTCGATCGCATGATGCGCAAACTTTCCCCCACTCCCTTGTTTAATGCTCAAGAAATTTGCCGGTATCTATAGCCAGCATAAACATAAATATAAGAGAAGTAAAGATTGCATTGTGTCAAATGAAGGTGGAAAAATAAGGGTAAACCTTTGTCCCTATCGATACGGAAGCATTAGGAGGGCACGCGGTGACCTTGGACCGTAAGTGGGTCGGTCGTGAGATGGGCTATCGGATGTCACTGCGCAGACGTCACGCTCGAGCCGGGACCCGCGCCGTCTCGATTGATGATCACGCACGCCCGGGAATAATCATTAAAGCATTAAAATGAAATCTTTCTCGTCAAGTTAGGCGTTAGGTATTGAAATGATTTCGTTTGAAAGAAACCTAAGTTTTCCAGGGAAGAATTTCATAGACAGAATATTGAAGTCTTTGGATTATTGTCTATAATTTCGTCACTTGACCTTCAAGCCTTCTTATGCAAATCTTTATTGGGTTTTTGATATACGATTAGAGTAATATATAAATATATATATAGTAATATGTCTAATGTAAGCTGGTTTAGAAGTTATTAGAATATATTCATGTAGGGAGTGAATATATTATTTAAATTGAATAATACAATATCGTTTCGTGTTCAACATTAACATATTAATAGCATATGCTCATAGACATTGACAACTCAAGACAGGTGTGCGTGATGCGTCTGTTGCAATGGACGGCTATTCACTCATCGCCTTTTCACTATTGAGTTGTTCAAGACTAGAGAAATTCATAAATATTATTTTACCGAATAAATGACCAGGCTTAGTAAATATTAACATTGTCGTAATACGTTAGGATTATTCAGGAGATTGTTTATACTAAAACAGTTAAAATCATTGGACTGGCGAGCGCGTATATTTTGTGTTTTTCCACATAGTTTATACTGAATACTCAAGAAGCAATAGGAAATGCATATCATTGCAGTAACTAAAATAATGATATTTAAAAACTATATCAGATTTTATTTGAAAATATAATGCCACAATAATTATAATACAAACTGAAAATTGCTTTAAACTTGGACATATGCCCGTCATTTCAGAAATTCATGGGAAATTAATTCCATAAAAAATAAATTTAAATAGAACTTAATACGACTTTATGAAATCTGTATATAGAAATAAAAACAAATTGCAAAATATGGTACTAAACTCAAAACTCGAAAACTCGAGATTTTTTTTATTTATTCCTTGAACTCTTAGGAAAGTTTTTATGGGGAACATAAGATATTATTTATACGGAAAAATCCTAACAACCCGTTTTCTTTTTCGGTAATTGTGAACGCAACTTCAAGGTAACGAATGTTTCATATGTTGGTATGTAACTAAAAAGGTAGGCTAAGTAAAAAAATCATATTAAGGCGAAACGAAGTTCGCGAGTTATTAATATAATTAGCACATAATCATGGCCAGCGATTAATTTATGTAATAAATTCCTGTTTAATGTATAGTAAACCAAAGACAAATACACTGCCGTTCGATGGGCAGGTAAGCAATCTTCACTATAATAATCCTGCGTGCTACCACACTCCAGGGTAAACGACCTCAACGCAAGCAGAAAAGTTTAAAATTTAATTCAACCAAAGTATGTTTATGTTCCCACTCAGCCAGTTATGTAAACAAATTCATGACATTTACGATTGAAATTTGTGTCTTTGAGATGAAGGGCATAATTTGACTACGATAAATAACTGTTAATATAGGTAGATGAAGCTTTAGTTGAAACACTATTTAAAACACTTTCCTGGGAATTAAGTGTTCTGTTACCATAGTGACCTTTGATTAATTATATTATTTTTGGAGTTTACTCCTTAAGAAACGATTTGAGTTATAAGGCCCGGTACGGAAATTTTATGAGGAGTAAAATCAAGTGTAACACGAAAAGTTGAGGCGTTATGTAGAAAGAGACAAACATATATATCTGTAGGATTGAACGTGTAAAAGAATGAGATGGAATACATTACACAGACTTTTCTATTTTGAATTCACGTTTTGACAGCCACGTTACATGTCAGTGTTGACAGGTGTAAAAAATAAAAGTAGATTGTCTAGCGTGCCATAGAGTTTTGTCAATAGTAATGGTCAGTGAAATTAAAACTAAAAAGATTGTTCATTCTTATTCTTCTCTTACTATAAAGGTAACTTTGGTCACAGAAAGAAAATCCTATTTGGGCATAGATGATGTAGGTACGTTTTATTACTACTACAAACATTTATATTATAAAAACATATTTTCTTACAACCTTTAGTATGAAAATATGGTCGACAGCCACAGAACATTATCGCCATTTTATTGTTCGTAAGGAGTAAGCTCCAATCGTGCGTCGTAGCTGACACACACACACTTTTTTATTTACTTTAAAGTTCTTTAATTAACTTCGATGTTGTCGTATGCATGCAATTTTCTATAGGATAGGGGTGCAAACAAGCCTAAAGAACGGCCCTAACGGACGCAGTGGGTGCGTTTGCCGGCCTTTGAGGGAGGAGTATTATCTCTTTTTAAACAATTTGAGGTCGTCTCTTCCAGGGGAAGTCTCCACCGGGAGTCGATTAAACAGTTCCCTAGAAGTTTTTCATTGTAGAACTTTTGGGACGCAAAAAACCTTATGTATAACACGTTTCACCCAGTTGTGAAGATCAATTAGTAGTTTTAAGGATAGATAAATATTTTACAAGTAACTGCTTACACGCAATATAAATTACATCGCTTTAGAAATACCGAAGAGCAATTATTAATGTCGTTGTAATTTAACATTCCTGGATATTAAATATTCTTGCCTTAAAAGCTCCTACGTTTGTCTCTAAGGTTATATTAGTCTACAGGAAGCTTTGTAGGCCGTTTAATGATACAGTTTTCGAATTCCGGTTTTGTAATGGACTGACACATATTATTTCAAGGGTAATTTGAGTTATATTTGATTTAAATAAGTTGAATCTAGAGAAGCGAAAATCGCTTTAATTTCGTATTTTGTTTTATACACTCAGCCTCCTTTCGCTAAACGATACAGCATCAAAGTCAAATCATTTATTTCAATTAGACCATCTAAAATGGCACTTTTGAACGTCAAAAAATCGTCGTATCAGCTGGATGTGTATATTCATTTTTGCGTTCATAAAAGTTCTTCTTTAAT